TTTGTTTTTTATATCCTATAGGTACCCGTATATTTTTTAAATAATAATTATATCCATTTAGTTTAGGAAAGATTTAATTTTTGTTGTGGTAAAATATGCTAATTATTATTTCATAACAATTCTTAAGGCATTTTATTACCTACTTATATTTTGTATTGGTTTAAAATATCAAATATAAAATACAATGTACTACATATTGCATAGAACTTTAACTATTATAGTTGTATATCACTCAGGCACGCCCGGAGGGGGTGGCCAGGTGGTGCAAATGCACCACCTGAGAATTTTAATAATTTGGATTTTTTAAATAAATAATAAAATATAAAAATTCCTTCTCTGTAAATTTTTAATTTATGCCCATGATTATTCCCAATATAGTAAATATTAAATACTTATTAGCTATTCAGGCATCTGACTATTCTGAGATACCACCGTCTGCCGCATTTTAGTACTGTGTACAGCCACGTCTAACCACGCGTCTATTATTAATACATTTATTTTGGTCATCAATAATATTATTATGAATTTCGTTATCTGACATCTATTCTGTGGTACACTATTATTTATATATATATATATATGTATGTGTGTGTTATACATCTAAAATTCTATCTAATTTTTATATTTTACAAGAAGTAATAAATAAAATGAGTTATGTTTTAAATATATTTTGTTATACCCATTATTGATGATAATTAATATATGTCATGTAATAAGTTTTAGGGGGTGTGGGGGGCAAAGCCCCCCACATCTTATATTGATATTAAAAATATTTTGCACCTAGTGAGCTACATCTCTGCGGGCGTGCCTGATATCACTAATTTCTTATCAATAAGTAAGCTATAAATGAATAAATCATGATCATACACCGATATTTTAAGGCACTATCGTGACCCAAATACTATATATGTCTATACATAACAATTAACAATATATAGGTAGTATAGATTAGGGATCAATGGCTTGTGGGTGGACACAACTGTCAAGATTTATTTAGAATATTCTATAAATCTATATTTGTTCAAATGTCTGTTTAAAACCAATACTTTTATCTCAGATTATCGTAAAATACCACTACTTGCAATTGCAAAAATTGATTTCAAAACTTTCCTGTACTTCAGAAGTTAGAATAGTAATCAGTATCAGTATCATCCCGATAAATGTTTATTCATGAAACATTTATGTAATAATGTAAAACTTTACTTGAACAATAACGATTATGATACCACCATTATTTTGAAATTGTTAGAGTAAAACGAAAATAAGCATTTAAAAAGAATAAGGTGGGCAGTAGCTGTACAGTACGAGACACTAGTACTGAAGTGTACTTCGTCTTTGATTAAGTCACTAGTCACTGTAATATATTATGTGTTAAATTTGAATTCAAAAATAATTTATTACTCATGAAAAAAATGAAAAACGATTTTGAGCGAACACAGCCTGTCTATTTTATTATATGAGTAATTTATTTTACTATTAGTAATACGGTAAGTAGAATTAATTTTTAGTTTTTACCTTAAACATTGCATTTGAAAATGTCATTGTTTGTATATAATATAATAACATAGATAAGTTAAAAGTTGTAAGTACCTAGAAATAATATTTTTTTCAACAAAATAACTGAAATTGTTATTCTTTGCTTAAATATTTAAATTTTTTATTACAAAATTGAAAATAATCGTAATTTTGATGAATTTTGTTGGTAAAAATTTGAACTTCAAATGCTTATAAAAACTATGTTTCATTGATATTTTTAAATGGCTTTAATAACAACTTACTAGAAAACTTATACTACATTTGCAAACCTCTTGACTACCTGTACGAAAAAGTTTTGTCGACCTAGAAAGTGTCAAATATCTATATAAATAGCTCAAAAGGAGTCAATATATTTTGAAAATGTTGTTTTGTATTGAAAATTATTACAATATAAGCATTTAGCACAATTTTAAAATATCCAAAGGGTTATTTTTTTTTTAATTACAAAAAAATAAGGCGATCGGTAGACATGAAATCGCTGTTATTTTAGGGTGAATATCCAACGTTGTTGCAATTTAAACTTCAGAGTTCAGACGCTTGACTTTTTTTTTTTAATTTCTCTTATAACAATTTATTTGGAATCTTGTATTAAGTTGTCAAAGAGTAGGTATGAATATTAAAACTATAATTTGTCCGGTTGTGAATAAGTTTGGGAAGCGCTGATATAGACTATGTAAGTAATCACTAATCATGTACAGCCATAACGTTATGTCATTAATTTATATTAACGTACCTATAGTTTTAGGTGAGTGTTTACATTGAACTCCGCATACCTATACGGCTATGCCTAATGTTTATAATGTCTAACATTTTGAAACTAAAGACTTGCATCAATATTATCAATAATATCAGTTTAATATAATATGTAGTTAATATATGTATATTAGAATATATTAATTAAAAGCATCAATTAAACGAAGACTTAGTAATTCAAAGCATTCTAAGAAATGACTATGATCGGAACTATATTCGACGAGTTTTGAACTCTGAGAACTCCGGTACAAAAGAAAATATTGAAGCCTTTTTAAAAAAAACTCTATTGAGGTAGGTAAGTACCCACTACCCAAATATTTGTTATTAATTTACAATATATACATATACAAATTAAAATACATTTTTAGCCTAAGCTTAACTAGACTCTAGTTGATCTTTGCTTGTAATTGTTATAAAACTTTTATAGGCGTTTTTATTTTAAATACTCATACTTACAATGTAATACATAATTCATATAAATATATAGTACATAAAACATACTATTATGTATACAATGAGTTGTCTGCTTACTATACTTGCTAATAATAATGTATAAGTATAACATTTATCATTAAAAATGTGTATTATAATTTAAATTAATTATTGATTAATGGTTAAAAGAATATCAGCATAATATTTGTTTTCTGTTTTTAAAATTTGGGCTATAAAATGTTCAGTAGAACCAACCTTATGTGGTAAAATTTAATATTGGAGTGAATTGACCTATTACAAATATAGTCAATAACATTACTTGTGTTTGTGCATACGATATTTTTAAAGATATTTGAGTTTCTATTCAAGTTATGAGTATTGAGTACCTATGTGAAATATTTAAAAATGATCATTACGTTATAATATAATACACAAATAATTGAGATATTGTAAAAAATCAAACGTATTATAAAAAATACCGGGACAAATATTATTACCTCTAATCTAGTCACGATAGCGTTTTAAATAATACATTGATAAATTCCCCACGTATTAGTGAATATTTTAAACAAAACCCAAATCGATATTTTATCTCAGTTTAAATTAACACATTATTATAAATAGAGTCAGTTTGTTTTGTTTGGCGTTTTCGACATGTACGAACAAAAGAAAAATCGTGTAACGATTTGTCGAGACCTTAAAAATCGTTCTATCGATCCTAATTTTATAAAAAAACATAATAACAGGTGACGAGACATGGGTTTATGGTTGCGATCTCAGTCATCTCAATGGAAAACAAAATTTTTCTCTCGGCAAAAAAAGCTCCCTAAGTGTGATCAAATGTCAAGACAATGCTGATTGTTTTTTTTGATATTGAAGGTATTGTTTATTATGAATTTGTACCCTAAGGACAAACAGTCAATCAGGTATTTTACAAAGACGTATTAATATGTTTGGGAGACAAAAATCGTAAAAAACGCCTTGAAAATGGCGAACAAGAACCTGGTTTTTTCTCCATGACAATGCGCCAGCCCATTCAGCGCTGTCGAAAAGTGAATTTTTGGCTGATAAAAAATACCTGTAGTTGTCCCACACCATCCCTATTATCCTGATCTGCCCCCCTGTGATTTTTTTTTTTTTCCCAAAACTAAAATTTGCACTCAACGAACAACGATTTCAAGATGTAGAAGAAATTATAGCGAATACGGCAGCAAGACTCAAAGTCTTAACTTCGGTGCAGTTCCAAAGGACTTTCGAAAAATGACAAGAATACTGGGACCATTGCATTTTGTCCGAAGGATAGTATTTCGAAGCAGAAATAATTAAATAATGTGTAACTTAACTTTTGTATTTATTAAAAATAAAATCCTGGTATTTTTTTATCACACCTCGTACATAAGTTTTATAATAGGTAACTCACTGTCATATTATGGTTAACAACACATGATTGGTATTTGATTAACGGAAATGAACCTATGTACCTAGGTACCTATATTATTTAGTACCTGCAGTACTATTATATATTTATATATTATACATAAATACCAATATACCATAGGTAGTAGGTCTCAACGTATGGGTCAGAAGGGAAATAAAAAATATGATGAGCTGACAACCTCCATAATATTGTTTTAATTTGTGATATCATCCATTAGTGGCTATTTTTTAGCTGTATCTTATTTTTTACACATTTTAATTTGTATCATCGTAGGTTAGGTTAGGTGGGGTTACAAACCAGTGTCTAGACAGGCCTGAGTACCTAATAATGACATGTGTCAATAAAATGAGTCCTAAAATGTTTGTTGATGGTAAACTAAAGGTGGCTCTATTTGACTGTTCAGCATACAAATTTTGTTCAGCCCCAAAGCAAAAAAAAAATTTTAATTGGGCCCATGTTACCTATTATTTATTATGCAACCATGTATAGATGTAGGTAACCATACAAAATGTTACATACAATCGACTTGCAATATTACCTGTTTATTGGTTTACGCCAATATATTCCAGCTCCGAGTTCAAAACAATAATAGTAACTCGATATCACTTTTTCCCATTCTAACATTTCCTAAATTCTAACAATGATTTTTTAATGGAGCCTGATGACGAGTGATGATGTTTTTATGTTTTTCATAATTATTTTACATCTTTAAAATATTTTGAAAATTATCGTTACGTGTACAACACTGTATAATATTGACCGTTATCAATTTTTAGAATTTCGCGCCATTTCTTTATTTTAGACATTCTTATCATTGAATACAATTCGATATTGATTACAGGTACATGAGTACATTTTGCATTATTGCATATTTATTTTTGTTATTTATTTGTTGAAACTTTTTCGTTACTCAATATTAAAATATATAACTTTATGCTTTTGTTTTAACTTTTACTTGCTGAGTTGAATGTATTAAAATAAATAAAAAATCTTGGTACTAAAATGCCGTGTGAAATGATAACGGTCCAATTGGGCCAATGTGGAAATCAAAGTAAGTAATTTAAATACTAGGAATGCGTTGCCTCATTGACAATTGTAATTCAGCTTTATTTGGACATATTATGATGATTTAATATTACCTTGTGGCTTGTGTTAAGTTGGATTCGAATTTTGGAAAAAACTATGTGCCGAACACGGTATCAATCCAGAAGGAGTCCTGGAGCCTTTTGCTACAGAAGGTGTTGGTGATCGAAAAGATGTTTTTTTTTATCAAGCCGATGACAACCACTATGTTCCGAGAGCAGTTTTGCTGGATTTGGAGCCACGTGTCATACACTCAATCATGTCTTCCAACTACTCAAAAGTAAGCTTGATGAAATTTTTTGAGTATGGTGTTGCCGTTCTAATACTAATTTTATTTAGCTTTACAACCCTGAAAATGTCTATTTATCTAAACATGGTGGTGGTGCCGGAAACAATTGGGCATCAGGTTTTAGTCAGGGTGAAAGATTACAGGAAGAAGTGTTTGACATATTAGATCGCGAAGCAGAAGGCGGTGATAGCCTTCAAGGATTTGTGTTGTGCCATTCAATTGCTGGAGGAACAGGTTCGGGAATGGGTTCATTTATACTTGAACATTTAACTGATCGATATCCAAAAAAAATTATCGAAACATATAGTGTATTTCCAAATCAAGATGAAATTAGGTAAGGTTAACTGTTTCGTATGTTTCAAATCAGAATAATTAAATTGTTGTTTCAAACAAATTTGTATTTATAGTGATGTAGTTGTACAACCTTACAATTCGTTATTGACTTTAAAACGACTTGCACAAAGTGCAGATTGCGTCGTAGTCTTAGATAATACTGCATTAAATCGGATTGCTACTGATCGTTTACACATAGAAAATCCTTCATTTGCTCAAATAAATTCATTAGTATCTACAATTATGTCTGTTTCAACAGCTACTTTAAGGTAATTTGTTAAATTTTATTACTTGTACATATTATTTAGAATACTGAACTTATAGTTTTGATCTTATTTAGATACCCATCATACATGAACAACGATTTAGTTGGTCTCATTGGACCTTTGATACCATCACCACGTTTACACTTCCTTATGACAGGTTATACACCATTAACTACTGATCATGAGGTACTTAAATTGATTTTTTTTTATATTTTGCAAAATGTATTTATATGTGTTACATAATATAATATGATTTATATTAATTTCTATTATTTTGTAATTAGGATGCTAGTATTCGTAAAACAACAGTATTTGACGTAATGAGACGGTTGTTACAGCCTAAAAATATGATGGTGTCCACAGCTCAGGAAAGATCTACTATACCACATTGTTACTTATCTATATTAAATATAATCCAAGTAATTATTTTATATATTTGGTTAACAAATTAAGTTATTAAAATAGTGAATAATAATCATACAATTACAGGGTGATGTCGATCCTACTCAAGTATACAAATCACTCCAAAGAATTAGAGAAAGAAAAACTGTAAATTTCATTAATTGGGGTCCATCCAGTATTCAAGTTGCTCTTTCAAAGAAGTCACCTTATGTTCCAACTGCGCATCGTGTATCTGGTCTTATGTTAGCCAATCACACAAGCATATCTCAAGTAGATACTTTATATCTTAAAAATTAAACTATTATAATCCAAGTTGGAATATTAATTGTTAATTGTTTTCAGCTTTTCCAAAGAGTCCTGGATCAGTATGACAAACTACGACACAGAGAAGCGTTTTTAGATCAATTTCGTAAACAAAACATGTTCAAAGATGACCTATGTGAAATGGATGATTCTAGGGCTGTAGTACAAAATCTTGTAGACGAGTATTTGGAAGCCACAAAGGACACATATCTTCAATGGCAACCTGTATGTATATAAAATAGAAATGTTTTGTGTGCGGTATTGTATGAAATGCATGAAATAGTATTATGAATATTGATACCATGTTTTCATTTTATACAATTATTGTTAATTGTTAACAATCTTATTTAGGTATGATGTAGACTACATCATGTAGTTCAACAAAGTTTATAAAAAACTGAAAATAAATATTAAGTAGTGATTTGATCATTAATAAGTTAGCATTTTACTGTGTATAAAATTTGTTTTTAGTGGATCTAATTTGCATAACAAACTAGACTATTTTGCAAGTTGTTAACACAAAGAATTTTTTGGTTTCAACAAAATATTGATCACTAAGATAACTATGTCTCACTTTTTAAATTTATGTTAACCTTAAAAATTTTAACTTTAATAAAAATATCAAAAACTAAATTTAGTTTACCACATCAAAATTAATTTATCAACTTATAAAGATTTTCGTCAAGATGTTTTATACTTGTTATCTAAGCTCATATATTATTATGTGAACCAATTGTAAATTTGAATGTATGTCATTATTAATTACATATTATGTATCATACTACTGCTTGTTATAAAAATTATTTACATAGATCTAATTTTGATTTTTGATTTTCAGAAAAATGTTGTCAAGAATTAGGAGAATCAAAAAGTTCATTAATTTACCATTTTTCAACTTACTACTAACATTCATCACAATTTTTTGAGTTATATAATTTATTATAATTATATCTATTTAACTTTTTTTACACTTTGTTGAAAACTTATTGTTTATATTTACTAACGCATAACATAGTGATCTGAGTTCCCTGTTTATTGTATTTTTTTTTTAGTGTTACTAATTAATAATTATAATGGTTCAGTAAATATTGAATTATTATAGGAAAAATTTGCTTCTACAAAAATAATTTATGTTTGAATTTTATGTGGTTATTATTACTACATGCATATTTAACAATTATATTGAAAATAAATGATGCTCAATATAAAAAGAACAGATTTTAGTCAGAGAAATTCTCAATGTTAAAATTAAATATAATGTTTTAAATTTTCATTGTTGGTATTTTTTTCAAAACTTCTTCGATGTTATATATTAAAATGCATTTGAGTCTCATGATATGTACAAAAAATTATTTAGGGAATTAGGATACGAGAAAATTAAAAATAAGAGTTAGAAACAAATTCTTTTATAGTGTCATTTTATGTACAATATTGACTGATTGTTTTTAATTTTTTGTACTTGTGTCTTGTGAACAAATTATTTAATAGAGATATTCTATAGTTGTATGTATAAATAAAAGTAATATATATTTGTCATAAAAAATAGTTTAATGTTTTACTTTTTTTAAATAAATAATTTGACTATATTTTATTATATTTGTAATATTATTAGAAGTTATTTAAATTCCAAAAAATATGTTCAAGATTTCAACCATATTCAACATTTAATTGTAATAATAATGACAAGGCTGTTTTTTTTTATTCATTCTTAATGCTGCTTTACCGCATTTTTCAATTATTATTTAAAAATAACCATATAATCTTAAAGTTATAGCTACATTAGTTATAGGTTATAGCTATAGTTTTATTTATGGATTATAAATGTAATACGAATATCAACCATGGTAAACATTTTACTTTATATTATAACATTATAACTGTAATACATTTGAAGAATTATAACATACATTTAAGAACTCTGAAAATTCTGAAAATGTACATAATGTCAATTTCTTTTTGTAAACTTTGATCCGTCGATATTAGTATTTTACATGGTAACTAATATTAAATAATTGTTCTCATAATATTCAATAGATTATATTTCTGCCATATTTTTAGACATAGGTAATATAATTGTTATTTTATTAAGAGCAAATATTGTTATGTATTTATTATTTATTCAATTCCATAACAACAAATTATATTGAATAAAAAGATAATATTAGTTAATTAAATAACTCCATGGGAAAATCTCAGCCAAACTGAATTGTGCTCAAAAGTTATGCTTGAACCAAAATTCACAGGAAGCTGTGCTGAGATTATCAAGCTTGATCTGAGTGGTGAACTGGTGATTACTCATTGCACACTCAAAACACATTTCAACAACTTTTTTACTTAAAAAAACGCACCAGACCACCTAAATGGTACTAAAATTACAAAACCATCGGTACTAGTTAAAATACTTATAAATGGATATTCTCAAATTAAATAGGTAGGAACCTGCAACCTAGATATATTCCTGACCAAGGATATTTCCAATTCCTAATGGAATAAGATTCACTTACACCGAGGTACAACAGCAGCTATTTATAAATTAATGTCAATAAATAAAAAAAAGTTAATAATCCAGTTTTTATTTATTTTTAGTTAGATATTAAAGTTCAGACTTCTGAAGGATTTAGCCTTTAGGTAAAGGCCCTGTAATCTGGCTGCAACTTTGAACCATAAACACTAGTAGATAGGTATTGTATAGCTGTATACAAAAGGTTTACTTTCACAGTTTCACTGCTTTCCTTTAGCATGATACCTATTCTACCTATCGAGAGTATTATTTTTTATTTAAATATCCAATTCCAACATTTGTGAAAAAAAAATGTAGCTATTTATCTTAGATAATTTATAATTGTACTTTAAAAACAACTTATGAATTTTAGGACCTAATATTCTTATTAAATTTTTAAGTTTTTGAGTCAGAAACAAATATTTTGTCAGCAAAAATCAAAATGATGTACTAGTTAAGGACTCAGACATTTCAAATGTTCATAAATAACTCAATGAGAGAGTACAATATACTAAAATCTCTGTCTAGAAATGTTTGATACAATAGAAGTTTGGTAAACATTTTAAGACGTTACGGATTCACAGAAGGTAATAATGAAGAATAAAAAAAAAAAATACTAATAAAATCAATTTTATGTGCATTTGTATTTTATAATATATTAACAGTAAAATAAACTAGACTAAGTAGTAAGTACGGTAGAATCCGCTTAATTGGGACACCTCATAAAGGGGACAACCGCTTAATGGGGACGAATTGGCATAGTCCCGAACGAATGTATTCGTTTAAGGCAATTTAACTTCGTTTTTCCCGGACAAACCATCGGTTATAACTTATAAGTGACAAAAATAAAAACGTTTGATTAAATATTCTGACCTAAATTATCTACTTCTTATCGAAACTGTAATTATTTTATCTTTATAGCTTATTATAATATAGATTATGTCAATCATTTATTTTTCTTCCACTACCACAATAAGAGTGCGATATTACGTTTGTACGTACTAGCCCACGTACAAATTCGAAAAACTTTAGTTAGCGTTCTTTCGTCTCTGTGTATTAACGTATGCGTGTTTTGATTGATCCCAGTTTGTGATGAATTAAGTATGTTGATCAATTCATTTATAATAAATATGTATACATAATAAAATAATTATCTAATTAATGTATGATATGTAATAGGTACCTAATACTAAATAGTAAATATAGTGTACTACTACTAATAATAAATAATAATAATAATATGTAATTAGTAAATAAAGTATGAATTAAGTATGAATGTGTGTATTTTTTAAATAAGTTATTATGTATAGACGTATATGCACTTTAATAGTTTTGATTTACTAGTTATTCGGTTAATCGGGTCCGTCGGATAATGGGGACAAATAGGTCACCGCATAATGTGTAGCAATATTAAGCGGATTCTACTGTATTTAACTTTTAAAATTTGCAGATTTTTTCACCTTCTTATTTTGAGCTTATATTTAAGCCTCACTCACCTTAGACAAAAGATTAACCTGGAACATATCAGATACCACACATCAGATCCAAAAGATTAATATTAAACTCTCGTTCTCGTATGCTCAAATCTATTTTAGTAAAAAACAAATGCACTAGTCTAAAAAATAAACTTATAATCTGCAAAACATTCTTAAAACCTATCTAGTCTTCAACTATGGGATGCGGCAAAAAATCAAATCTAAACAAAATCCAAACATATCAAAATATCAGTCAACTAACTAATGCTCCACCATACATTTCAAATTGAACTCTCCACAAGGATCTTCATGTTAAAACGACCGAAGAAGAATCAGTCATTTTTTACAAGCGATTTTTCTCACGCTTGGTAATTTATAATAACCCATTAATTAGCAACTTAAATACCTTAACGCTTCTTAATAGTCCTCGAGGTCGTCTGAAAAGGAGATGGTGCAGAGATCTATTGCAACAAAAATTCACTTAACCTCGTCTCTCTCCTAATTTCTTATACCTCAACATCACACAATCACCCCTCATGCTAAGAGTCACTAGTGACTTCTTAATCACGTCTACCGTGTTATTTTTAAGTCTCTTATCACATATACCTATTGTGCTACTTTAGTATAGATTTCATCTTTCTTATAAAAAAATAAAAAATAATATTTATATATGAATTATTTTTGTTATTTATTTAAATTTACTATCTACCTATATTTATTAATAATCTTAATAATTATAGTTATTTAAATTAACTGTTTTTTTTATTCATTTTTATCGATTGTGTTTATTGATCAATATTAATTATTATAAATTATGTTTATGAGATGTTTTTCATATTTTCATGAAGGTTATTGATAACAATGTTTAATAAACACAATATTAATTTTAAAAAAAGTGGACAAGTGGGTATCGCAATGCTGTAAACTAGTTTTCGAGTGTGTCATTATGATGGATGTGTTAGATTTGAATTTAATGATAAATCGTTGAATGCGATTGCCATCCTAGTATACATGTATAAATAATCAAATGTAATAGATCATTAAAAAAGTAGCTGAATATGAAATATCCTAAAAAAATTAAAACCAAATGCTCATGAAAAACTAAAGATACCTACTGTCCGGTGAACTTTTTTTTTCTGATATAGGTGAAAAAACTTATTGAGAATCTTCTATTAAAATATTAGCAATGTAAATGAAATATTTTTTAATTTCTTAATGAAAAATAATTAGCAAAATTTTGAATTTTAGAGGTATATAAAATATATTATTGCATTCTCATTTAATTATCACACTGAATAATATTGATATTATGACCTATGAGCATCAAGTAACATACAAATAATTATATCAGTTACGAGTCGCCGACCAATATTATATCATACTTTGCAATAATAAATAATATGTCTGTTTATTTTACATAATGATTTAGTCGGTATTCTCGGACATGATTGTGAATCCGAAGACCATATGACGTGTACATAAATTATAAATTAATATTTAACATTTATAAAAATTATTAGGAAATTATAGTTATTATCATTATTATTTATATTTATCGGCTCTTTGCGCAGAAAGAGACTTCGATGATTTTTTCTATACTATAAAACTTTTAACTGGCACAAATTCTTCATATAAATTGACACTTACGGGTTACAACTTTCAATTACATAAATTATTTAATCCAATTGTTTCATAACTTGTATAATATTACATATATTAACATGTATATCAGTACTTAAAACTTAAAAGTAACGAGTTCCAGTTACATGTTGGTTACGTTACTAGGTGCAATACTATAGGTACGGACATGTGACATGTTTACTTTCCTTGTAATACTCTTTCCTGATTGAATTTGTTCATGAATAAACAATGGCAGAAGAGGAGTAGCATCTATTGTTATTTGTTAACATAGAGCCTCCTCTTCCGTCAGTTATATAGGACAAAAAATTAGATTAGATTAAAACCATAAATAATTAATACAAGTGGGTACTGTTATCTAATAATATGGTTGTTTTGAAAAGGTATTATTCTAAACATTCTAAATCCTATAATAAATTCGTAAAATTCAATAGATTAAATTTATAACTTTGAATTGAATAAAATAATTAATTATAACAGTACCTACCTACTTTTAAATGTTGTGTTTGCTGTAGATACGACGTACGACATTACAAGTACCTACCGATATATATTGTATAAATGGGAGTTTCGTACGTACGCTGTCAACTGTACTGCGCGCGTAGTCGTCGAGTAGTTATACTGTCTGCATAAATATATAATTGATTTAAACTTTAAAGTAATTTGTTTAAAAAAGTTGTAGTTATGGAACAGTGGAAAGGCAAAGTAGCAATAGTAACTGGCGCCAGTGCAGGAATTGGTGAGGCAATCGTTGTCAAGTTGGTGGAATACGGTGTACACGTTGTAGCGCTTGCTAGAGGAGAAGAAAAACTTAAGGTAATTGTTATTAAGTAGGCACTAACGAACTTACATTTTTTTCAATCTGGATTTAAATTTAAATTATAATTAATAAATAGTAAGAACTAGGGAGATCGTGTATGATAGAAAAGTTTATCCAATTTATATTATAATGTAGAGTTCATAATTATTATACAACAATATAAATAATTATAAGTGTACAGAACATATTATTACATTTACATAGACATATACTAATACTATTTATAATATATATGATTCATATAAGTACAAAGACAAGTAAAAACGGTTGAAATTTTGAATATATTCGTAAATACAGTTTAGTATTACAGTTTACTATGATCATTTAATCAGACCAAAAAAATGTTGAAAATATTTTTAAGTATGGAATTAGGTTTTTTCAAAAATCAATTAGATTTTGTTAAAGATGGATGATTGATTACGTTTTTTCGTTTTTTTTAGCTTGGAATTAGGCAAAAAAATTAACAGCGAAGTATAAAAAACCACAGGATTCATGGCTTAAAGTATTTAAAATATCCAAAATAAGCATGAAAAACTTGAAAAACATTAAAATAAGCAATAAAGCAATCCCAAATAACAGTTACCCTCTCAAGGTCTCAAACATAGGGCATTTAAGAAATAGGGTTTTGGTCTTAAGACTTATGTTTTTCCAATTATACTATAAAATAATAGGTATCTCTGCATGTTTTAATAAAAAAGAACGAAAAAAAGAAATAAAATGCATAAAAAACAACCAAAATGAGCAAAAACATGCAGCTTAAAATGTCATAGTAAATCATAGTAACATCAACTAATATAATATTAACAAACCAATTTTCATAGCACCCTGCTAGATTTTAAGTCAAGAAAAAAATTACCAAATGCTATAATAAGTCCCGAACCTTGGTTATGATTTATGTCTTAAAATATGTAATATATTATATTATAAGCCTTTAGCCTATAAGCCTATTGCAAAAATGTTTATTATTTTGAATTTTGATGACAAACAATACGAAAAAAATAAAACATGTAAAATGCATTTCAAATAGTCAAATAATTGTTTTCTTCAAAGTCATATTGAAAACTGATACGACATAAATATTTAAATATTTATTTTGGTTTACCTGTAAATTATATAAATGTAAAAGTGGTTTTATAACATTTATTGAAGAAATTAGCAGAATCACTAAATGGAAAAGGAAATAATCAAGGAACTGTTCATACAAAAGTTTGTGACGTGACAAATGAACAAGCCGTTAAAAATGTATTTTCTTGGGTTGATTCTACACTAGGAGGTGTTAGTATTTTAATCAACAACGCCGGAACTGCAATAATATCAAGTCTTCTAAGTGAGAAAAAACATTAAAATTTAATTGGTGTCTTGTTATTATACAATTAATATTATTAATTGATTTAAGACGGGAAACTGGAAGACTGGCAAGAAATTATGAATTTAAATGTGTTAGCATTGAATGTGTGCTCAAGGGAAGCTTATCAATCAATGACAAAAAATAAAATCGATGGTCATATTATTCAAGTGAACAGGTAAAGGGGGATAGCTAGTGTTCAAAATTATAATTAATTAATTAATTAATGCAACTTGATGAAGTGTAGAAAATATTGAAATACACATGTTCTAAGCTAAAAAAATAGTGAACCATTTTAATTGTTTTATTTTACTTTTATACCTATACACAGTATTGCAGGTCATAATATAACTGCATATTTTGCCATGAAAATGTATAATGCTTCAAAAGTCGCGGTCAGCGTCTTATGTGAGGGACTTCGTCACGAACTACAGTTAGCAGGGTCAAAAATCAAAGTGTCGGTATGTACGTGTCGCAAACGATATGAAGCCGATATTTCACAGCCACACATACGGTACTAGTGCGTTTTTCGATTTACATTTTGTTTGTACTCGCATCGAATGGCTTTTAAATCCTTCTACGCGAATGAACTTAAATAATGTAAATCGAAAAACAAAAAAACGTAGTCGTGAAATGGCCTAATTACGCAATATGTAATGATCCAGTCATAATTTGTACAATATTTGTAAAATACTTTAATATTTTAAGAGCATAAGTCCGGGAGGAGTTGAAACAGACCTTTTATTACGCCTTCTTGAACGCAGTAGAGAACCAGGTTCGGCGTATCAAGTAAAGGATCTAAACATACTTAAAACTGATGATGTCGCTAACGCAGTTATAACCACTTTGGCCACTCCGCCAACTGTACTTGTAAGTTATTTTGTTGGGTATACCTTTCTATATCATTCATATAATTATTATTAACGTTTCTAATAACCAATTAATGTCAAATCAACAAAATAATGAAAAAATATTAGTTTTCATAATCGCAGACTAAGAAAACAGACTTTTAATATTATGCTTAAATGATCATTCTAGTTGGGTTCCAAGTACTAGGGGCTAATCGTATTTACTACACTAGTCAAGTCCGAGATTATTTTAGGTTTATCACTATTATTGGGTCCCGGATTTATTCAGGTACTACACTAGTCGGATCCCTAATATTTTTTTTATAGTGAGGAGGTATTAGATACTCTATACTAACATTTTCCTTCCTATTTTAAGTTTTAACAGACTTAAGGAGCTAGGACTATAGATGTTAAGACTGTATATAATAAAAGAAAATGCAAAAAAAACATTTTTGACCTTAACTCTGGTCTAATTTGATCATAGGTTTGTTAGGTCCTAAGTTTGTCGGATTGGGAAAGACAACGTTAGTATGGTGTGGTAGCCGGTAGGTACTTAGGTACCTAAAAATATTAGGGAACTAACTATTGTAATTCTTAAAATAATTACTGACACAACTAGTATAGACATTTTTACCCAATTCGCGTGCAGCCGCTTTAATCACTTGCCTATAGTTGTACGCCTTATAAATTACAATAAAGTCATCTATTTATCTACATAAACGGCTCGCGGCCCCTTATTACCTATTGTGTATTTGCATAACGACACTAAGGCTGATTAACTAATGTAATTAAGATTAAATTAAGTTATATTTATAATGTAAAAAAATAAAGTGTTAACATTATATTCGTGTATATCAACAGATAGCTGAATTGACCATCATAGCTAATGGATCAACAATTCAATCACATTTTCAACCATCGCCTGCAATTGTGGAAAACATATTAAATTCATAAAAATATGTATTTCATATTAAACACGACCACATTTTCTTGTATTATGATTGATTATAAATTATCGTAATTATTGTTAAAAATTACTATTACAAATAAAACAGCAATTCAAAAAATAAAATAATGCGATCTGTTTTAATTTTTTATTATATAATTTTGTCAACCGATAAATTATTATATTTCAGTGTTACTAGTGATAAGCTTGTTATTTATGTATAATGTTCATGCAATTTAAATTAATTTGTGTGCAGTTAATCCATAAAAGTTTGAGGGGAGAACTCCGCCTAAATAATTAAAGCTACATCTCCGATCTCCGTAAACACAAAAATAAAATTTGTTAATAAAAACAAGTTTTTTTTCCTTAGATGCTAAACTGATTCAAGCAGAAGATTCCCGGTTAAACTAATATTGATTCGCCTGTTATACTATAAAAGGTACTCAGTAATAATTACTACTACTTGCGTTTGTTCTTAACTTTGTACATTTTTGACTAAGCCTGCAAGCTCCCTGATCAGAATCGTTTTCAAAAATATGGTCTTAGACGACTCAAATCGTGTAACACACTGTTTTTGCTGATACTTTGACACCTTATTTGTACTAAAATCATGAATAAGTACCAAACATCTGTGAATAAGTGAAATTCAGTTTAAAAAATAATAATCAAACATACACTTATAAAAACCAATACACTCCTAGATCAGCTCAGAATCTACATCGCGAACGGATTAGGGATTCCACTGGATTTAGGTACACCATTGCATCGCTCGGGGCACTCGACCTTATCATTTATGCCTGCTGGAGCAAAAAATAAATTAAACGGAACTCATGACACCAATTCCGCGTTGAAACATTTTTTAATAAAACACATATCACGCACATTTACTGAGGTTAGATTATTATTTTTCCACGTTCGATTTTACAATCAAGAACTTTCCAGTTCATTACGGTTTTTTATTTCCACAACAGGCGTATAACCGGCGTTCGTGTAAATAACTGTCCGGAGTCATAGCATCACACCCACGCCCGTATGACCGTGCCCTGTACTGCAAGGGCTACCCATCTATATATTTAACCGCGGTAACCCGGGTGTGTGATGCGCGTGCCAAATGACATTAGTCACGAGCGGAAAAATCGAAATGTATATTATGGTAATCCATCGTAATAACTGGCCGCTCTCTGCAACTTAAATGTTCGCCAATATATATATCATTATATGGTGGAACGGGCAGGGAATACAAATGGCGCGTACCCATATACAGGAAACCGAAAACAGATTCACTGCATAGTGTAACACATGGACGGGGTCTATTATGATAATAAACACACATAATACACCGGTAGAGGTACATAATATTATTATATATTTATACACCTATAGGTTGGGAGGGGAATCGGTTAACATTGAATTTTCACAACGGCGTCGTATATGACAATATAATAATGCAATACATCTGCCACGCCAGTGATGTAAACGCATGTAAACCGTATTCAGATAAAAAAATTTCCGTGCATATATTATACGGACACTATATTATATACTTGTATACTTATGTGTATAGGTACATAATTTATCTGTGTACAGGGTGTAAGTTGTTTCGGCGTGTCCGTCCTCGCCGCCAATGACTATAATATTTCTATTTTGAATAGGAATATTTTGGAAAATTACATTCAATATATATAATATATTGATATAGGTACTTTAAATAAGAAGCGTCTTATAAGATGAAAATCTAAATGGTCTATTTGGCCTAGGATACTGGAACTTGAAGTAAAAAAAAAAAATTACTAAAACTATTATTTTTGCATTTCTCGCTGCAGGTGATTTCACAGGTAAGCCAAATCATAAAATCCAAGTTATTTGCATAAATATTTTAAAGTCGAATAACTATAGCTGCGTTATAACAATATTTTCATTAGGTTTATTCTATAATATTACGTTTCAGCAGCACATACGACTGGCGGGTGATGAAGCCATGAAGGAGTACTTACACGTGTAGCTTAGTAGACGGGTGAGTGGATGTGTGCGGAAAGACATCCTATACATCACAGGTGGTGCGTATATATAGTTACACAGGAACTTATATATATAATATAAATATATAGAAGATATATGTCTGTTACTACAGGCCACAGCGCCTTCGGTTTCGATCGAGTGTACTGTCATAATAATAATTACAATATATATGACGGTATAATTCGATTATTTGAATACTATTAAATCCTCAATCACTCGCACATATCATTATTTTAACACGCCGTGTGCTTCCTATTATTATTACTACTATTTTATCATTTTTTTTTTCTTCTACCAATATACGACCATGTATAGGTACTAGCTGGTAGGTAGGTAGGTAATAGGTATACCTCATATATATAATATTATAACGCCGTATTGTCATCCTGCACGACAGCATAATATGATGGTATATTATATACAACTGTAAATATTATCTTGTTCGTTGGAGTTTTTTTTTTGACACTGTTCACCTCATCTATAAATATACGAATATTAATATACTTGTATTATTTGCAACTCATACATATAGATATATGTATAACATACAGAGTGTATCTGAAAGTGTGTTGGCCAGTTGGTAAAAAGCCAGTTGCACTTGCAAATTCCCTGCCCTCTCACACTTTTCCCCGTCTTAACTAAACTCAGGTTGAGCGGATAGGTTATCCAGTTTCAACCTCACCGATACCTATCTACCCTGTTTACTTGGGCACAAGTCCATTTCGTATATAATAAATGAAGAGTAAAAAAATCACACAAATAAGATCAAATCGAGCAATCTCAATATCATTCTTATATATAATTTTTTTTTTTTTTTTTTAGGGGGAACCCACGGAAAAATGGGCGTGGGGGAGGGGGTACGGTAGGGAGTTCTTTGTATTGGCTTAGCAGGCTTTTTATGTTGGTAGGCTTCTAACAAGTGTTTGTGTGTGTGTGTGTTGCAACTTTTTAGATAGAAATAATTACCAATAATAAGTAAATACAGTTTCAAATAATAAAGGAATTTAATAATTTAAAATATTATATTTTACAATCGAAAAATCTGTATTATAAATATGCTTTAATTATTTTACTACCTACTCAATGCAGATTATTGATATTATTTTTTATAAATTACTCCTGTTGTACTTCGCCAGCAAGAACTCTACTCTGGTGTGTACCATTTAAAAATCATATTTCAATTTGTAAAAAATTTATTTTGAATCATTCTAAGAATCTGTTTTATGATCATAAATTATTTTGAAATCACGGTACTTTTAAATGGAGTGAAGACTGCGTTGGGTTTCCAATATTTTTTTTTATTTCATTAGATAAAACTGACCGCGGCATCAAAGGCAATTTGAATGTATTACATTAAAATACATTTAAAATTAAAATTCACAGTTTACAGTTACATTTGCGCATTGAAAAGAAGATACATAAAGATATAATGGTGTATTATATATAGAAACATCGTATATTTTTTCCAATATTCTGTTTTTGTCTATATTATTGTTTGACCGTCATTAAAAATTGTTCTCAGTAGTTTCTATACTCTATCAAAACGCGTCCATGATATTAATCAAGTAAATACAGTTTTCACTAGTAAATATTAAGTATACTAACTAAAAACAATTTACTACCCTATAACCTTACATGGTTTATGTTTAGCTTAGTTCAGATTGTTCAGAATCGTATTTTTTTTTTAGAATGCGATAATATTTGTCTTTACTTTTAAACTCAATATCACAAGTCGCAACACATTCTTTCTCGTGCATACCCACCATATTGGATAACTTTTTTCTTTAAATCCGAATATGTATCATGCTGAACGGCGACGAGAATTTATACCAACGGGAACACAATATATAAATTATATACACATTCAAAATTATATTTACATAAAAATAATTGTTTCAACCGATGAACACAATGCATTTTGTTTGAAATTCAAAATATTTTGATTGCGATTAAACTATTAAAGTATAACTGAAGCCACGTTGATGACAGTCAATTATAGTAGAACACTTGTTTGTTCAATAAATAATAATAAACATTTTTCTGTGTAATGAATTATTTCTACAGATATACAGCTGTATATTTACTGTACTATTAGTATGTAGAGGCAACTGCAGTGACATATTCTATCACTTAACTTTTAAGTTGTCAACACACAAGCGCACTTATAAATTATTTTAACACATTGATGTTCACAAGAAGCTAACATCATTCTTATGTTGTAATACATGGGTTCGATCTAATATATTGCATAAAAGCTGCGATTTACTTCGTCTTACACATTATATTCGCACCTATTTCGTCGGTGTATCAAAAATAAGTTCCCCATACTAATAATTTTAATTTTTTTTTAAACACCTTATTTGAATTAGATTTCATATTGTACATTTAAATTCATAATATATACATTATAATATACCGTCGCATGTCTGTGTTTTTTAGTGTTCACAGTTTAATTTTTACTTAAAATATACTTACAACTATTTCTTCCTTGATTTTATAAGAGTTATAGAAACTCTATTATCATCACAATAACCAAAATAAAGGTATGAAAAAGGCATGAGACTCTTTCTTAAATTAAATTTGTATTTATTTTAACGAATAGATACGTCCTTTTGATATCAAAAATAATAGTATAAAAATGTCCTACATGACATATAATATGAATAATGGTGGATGATATAATATATAATATATTTATATTGAATATTGTTTTATGATATGTTTAATGTATGTATTTTTATGTTATTCAAATTTAGTAAAATGATTATTGCTATACAAATTGTGTCACAAATTGCACTATGGTTTCATAATTTAAATTTAAAAAAAAATATCCTCATCTTTTTATATTTGCATTAGACATAAAAAAACTTCAAAAAGAGAACATTTTTAATTAAATTTGTAGAATTTTATATCTTTCATCGGTTTTGTAATACAAAGTCTTTACTTATAATTTATAAGCAAGTGGAAGCTGTTATCGCCAGACTAAAATGTATTCTCACATTATTGTCTCGTGTCTGCATTCCATTAGGTTTACTATTCATTTTTTGTTGTAAATTATAATTTTTAATTCGAGTGAGTGAGATTCACTGAAGAAGTCACGTGCAAAG